ATTTGTATTGTTCTTTTTAAAAAAGTTTCTTGTGTACAATTACTTCCAGTTTCAACATCTTCCAGTTCTTTATTATTGTCGATTGCTGTCTGCGTTTCATTTCTTTGTGAAATACATGTTGTATTGTTATTTTTCTGATATTTTTTCTGTTAAATTAATGTTTATATTTGGAAAATATACATAATTAAGTAGATGTCGAACACCTCCGTTTATTACACGAGCATATTTTAATACAATTGGGTCTATAGAGTTGAGAATAAAATCTCTAATGTCGGAAAGTTCTTGAGGTGTATTTGGGCAAAAATGTTTAATTGTGTTAATGTTGTCCAAATAATCTTCAATTAATATTGAATCTGAAATATACTTTGAAAAGTCCAAAGCATAAGTTGAAAGACAATTAATACGATTAAAATTTGAAATAATTTTTTTCGAGTCTTGTTTTGTTTTCCCTGATATCATAACCAAGTTTTATTAATTCGTTATTGTGTTTATTTTCAAAGTGGTCACACCTTTTTTCATATCCAATAATTTTGTTACACAAAATACAGTACCAACTATTTTTCATTTTATTTTCATTGCATTCTTGAATATAAAGTTTGAATATCAAATATAATGTAAATATTTCTTTTCGATTATCAATACGAGTTTGTTCTTTCATTGTTTGTTGTGTTTATCAAGATGAAATTATATTAAATATGTATATATTATTACCTCTAATCAAAAATTACATCAAAATGTTTAATCTTGTTGATAAAAAAATAGAGGGAATTAAACATAACATCATTATAATATATAGTTATGAAAATGGATATATTGGGTTATTATTTTTAAAGATGACTTTAATATTGAAGAATGGAATTATGTTTATTGAATATTTTAATTTCAATGATAAAATGTATTGAAATTTATTATTATAATTTTTAAGTTAAATTTGTATTTGACTTATATATTTTAAGTCAATTTTTTTATTTTTTGTATTATTTATTAAAAACAAATTTTTATTTTTTATTTAATATTCTTATTATTATTATACTTATATGCAATATATTATATTATAAACAATTAAAATGAAATTTATTAAATTAAATAATTCAAACACAATAGAGTATTTAAAAAATCCAGTTTAACAAATAAAATAAACTAAACTTTTATTGACTAAAACTACTTTATTTTGAACAATAAACATATACATTCTTTATTAATATCGAGTCTACCTCATA